GTACTATTGCTATAGCTCTGGGCAAATTGAATGTTCTGTTTTCTGAATTGTGTTTCAGTCGATGTTCTGTTTTTTTTTTTTTTGAATTTCGAATGTTTAGGGATGATATATGTTAATTAACTGAACCCTTATAGAGGTGCTCCGTTTTGTTGTGAAGAATAAGATTCCGTTTGTCTGAATTTGGGGTTGATATAATATGGCTTTAATGCATGCATGCATTACGAGCGATGTGGATTTAAATTCCTGTAAAGTATATAAAAAAAAAAATTCAGTACTTGTGAAATTACCGGTATAGGTTGTTGATAAGATATGATTGGGGGTGGCTTTAGGTTGTCTAAGCTTGTTATGATAACACCGAGTGTGTATTGAATATTTATACAATGGCTCGTTTATTTATTCATTGCCAAGCTACATTAGACCGTCAACTAATCCAATTTTTTTCAATTTTCGGGTATGATGCTCTATTTGTATTATATTTATTTTGGCAATCTCGATTCACGATGTCCTCTTGGCGTAATTGTACTTCATGCTGAAAAATATTGTTGCCTATGCATACTCTTGTAGGCTTGATGATGTAGGAAAGCCAAAGGCTGAAGTAGCTGCAAAACGAGTTATGGAAAGAGTCAGTGGTGTAAACATCACACCACATTTTTCTCGCATCGAGGACAAACCATTGGATTTCTATAGTGATTTCAGCATAATCGTACTAGGTCTTGATTCAATCGAGGCTCGGAGCTACATAAACGCAGTCGCTTGTGGTTTTCTAGGTCTGACTTCGAAACCTGGATTCTGCTATAGCATCTTTAAATTGCGGGGACCTTGAAAAAAACAAAATCTAACAAATAATTATATTCTTCCATTTGAACCTTGATCAACGAGTACATTTTTGTTCATAAGAGTCGATTTTACATTTGATCATAGATCTAATCTAAAGCCAATGCCTAAGCGCCATAAAACATTCTGTTTGCATAAACCTCCTCTGTTACAATTTCAAGAACATACCCGAATCTTGATCATTGCTTAGACGAAGTTTCATTTCATTTCCGTACTTCCCACCCATAAATTCCCGATCATACAATATATAGAGATACTGAAATCTAAACCGCACATGCACATGGAAGAAATAATTTCACTTTGTTATTCTTCAGTTGGGCATGGTAGAAGCTGTTTAGGTGTTCTGTAAATAGTTTTTTTACATGTTTTCGAATATATTTATGCAAAAGGAAAACGGGTTTTCTATAGTTTGACTGAGCTTTGTGTTTTTTTTCTTTTTCTTTTTTTTGATTAACAAGAGTATGACGATGATGATAACCCTCGAGAAGAAACTGTAAAACCTATGGTGGATGGTGGAACTGAAGGATTCAAAGGCCATGCAAGGATTATAGTGCCGGGTACAACACCTTGTTTCGAGTGTACAATTTGGCTTTTTCCTCCACAAGTCAAATTTCCTTTATGTACTCTAGCAGAAACTCCCAGAACTGCTGCTCACTGTATCGAATATGCCCATTTGATTAAATGGAGCGAGGTAAACATATACTTTTTTTTATTTATAACTTTTATGGCATCTTCGTTATTCTTTGTGATGCCTTGAAAACTTACGTTTTTCACTTGCAGGTTCATAGCGGTAAAAGTTTCGATCCAGATAGCCCTGAAGACATGCAATGGGTTTATTCGGAGGTAATAAATAATGAAGTTACATCTTTTGTTACGCAGTTTTCTTATTCCTTCACTCGTTTAATTCATTTGATCCTTTTTCACAGGCTGTAAAAAGGGCTGAACTTTTCGGAATTCCGGGAGTTACATATTCTTTGACTCAGGTATTCCTTAACTTTCGAAATCAATTTTTTTCCATTTTTTTTTGTTTACTTATGTCCATATTGTATAGGAAATAACATTTAGCTTTGTTTATAGGGTGTGGTGAAAAATATAATTCCTGCTATAGCTTCGACCAATGCTATTATCTCAGCTGCATGTGCTCTGGAAACCTTGAAAATCGTGTCTGGATGCAGCAAGACGTTATTGAATTATTTAACGTACGCATTCCACAAAAATCTCTAATTACAGTTTTTCTTTTTTCCCCAATTAATCTCACTTAATCCAAGTGCATATTAGTAATTAAGTTCGATTCTTGTCACAGGTACAACGGAGTTGAAGGTCTCCACACAAAAGTTACAGAGTTTGTAAGAGACAAAGAATGTCTCGTTTGTGGTCCTGGCATTCTAATTCAGGTGGACAAGTCTGTTACTCTGAAAAAGGTGAGTCCCGATTTTACTTTTTCCTGCCAAGATTACTTTTTTTTTTTCTATCAGTAACTTTGAACTGATTGCGTTTTCAATTACGGGTTTCTTTCTCAACAGTTCATTGATCAACTGGAAGATCACGCGAGCTGCTCCTAACTAGAGTGAGCGTCACACACAGAGGACAGAATCTGTACATGCAGGCTCCTCCAGGAGGCGAGGAGTTGACTCGGTCAAATCTTGATTTACCTCTGTTTCAACTGAGGGGTGGAGTATCGAAAGATATTGTTCATGTTAATGGCATGGCAGGAAAAGGAGACAAGAAGCAATCTTGTTTGAGGAAATTAAATGTCGTATTCAGGGGAATTGACGGAGTTGCTGACGTGGACATGGCTGGTGGGGCGTAGTGTAATTTCTCGTATAAATCTCGTCTTATAAGAGGTTCGTTCTTCTCCCTTTATTTCTCACAAATTTCGGTAATTTTTTGCAAGTATATGATGGATCATCGAAATTGTGGCCGATTATTGTGCCCGTATTTCTTTGCTTTAATGTGAGATGAATCGTGTCAATTTCATCAGAAGAAATCGAAATTTTTGCTTCGTCTTTTAACTGCAGAAATTTGGTCACATATTTGTTATTGTTACACACACACACACACACACACACACACACACACACACACACACACACACACACACACACACTGTATATATATTGCTATGAAGATAGCTTATGATGTAGAGGGGTCAGACAGCAAGCAAGCATTGTGGCTTATGGACCACAAGCTTATCATAACTCACATCTTTATGGATAGATAGATAGATAGATATATAGATAGGTTAGTTTATTATCTGAAAATTGAAATAATATTAAAGATGTTATATATATATATATATATATATATATATATATATATATATATATATGTATATATATATATATATTGTGGCTTCGTTAGGTCAATCTCATCAAAATCTAATTGTTTATTAGACCATTATTTGACTAATTAGATTTCAAATAAAATATAATTATGTGCAACTTATTTTACCAACCAAACTAGGTTTTAGTGTATGTGTATCTAGTGCAAGATTCACTTTATATAATTTTTCTTTTTTATTTAAAAAAGAAGGATATTGTGAATTAGTTGAAGTAGTCGGTGTACAATATTGGGCGAATAGCACTTTGTCCCCTTAAAAAAATATATTTTTGCACTTCCCCCCTTCAAAATATACACTTTGTTGCACTTTGCCCCAGATGTGTATTTGGAGTCGGGGCTCCGTATCCTTGAAGGGCTTCGTCCAATAGCTTTCGTTAGTTATCTATTTAAAACTCGATTTCAATTCATGATTCTCTCTCCCGCTCCGCACGTTCAAGCTACGACTTTTCAGTTCTTTTGCGGAACCATCTTAACCCTTTTATGGAAAGTTATTTTGCCTCCGCCGTGGCGGCTGTCCGTCCAGTTCGCTCAAAAACCCAACTTCCGGCGGCCAAATTCAATTTCAAGAAGTCTCCGCCCCTGTACCGCCACCCTTCGCTGAAGAAAGCCTGACACGAATTTACACACCTATCTGTCGAAGATATGAAACTTCAAAGCCCGACGGGTCGAGCTCAAGACCCAACCCGACACCCGGTCATCAGCAACCTTTAGAAGTGTGCCGACTTCGCGCACATGCATGTTCATGCTCGGTTTCAAAATTGACGAAATTACCCTTCCAAAATTACTCAAATCCAACTAGAATTTCACAGATAATACAGTTTGCCCTGCAATATTATTGCGTGGTACATTATTAACCTATAGAGAGAGAGTCCAAAATAATGCTAGTCAACAAGAGTGTGACAGTCACGTTAAAAGTGGGGCAATGCAAATTTATTCATCTGAGTAGTTGTTTTTAATTACCAGACTATGCTGAAACAGTTATAGGGTAAATTACAAACACCCCCCTGAGGTATGGCTAAATTACAAAAACCCCCCTCTTGTTTGGATAATTACATCTACCCCCCTCAACTATGATTTTTTCTTACCTTTATGGTGCCAAATTCAACATAGTCATCTAGATTCCGTGAAATGTGCTCTAGTTTGTACTCTTTGTGTAAAAAATACAGTTTTCGATGCACCATAAACTGATATATACAAGCTAAAAATCACATATATTGGTCATCTTGCTTCATAATGTAGAGTTTGAATGGGATAAAACGGGTACTAAAGTGATAATATTCCATATAATCTCGAAGATTCCACTAAATTTGATGAGTTGAGGGGGGTGGTTGTAATTATCCAAACAAGAGGGGTGTTTTTGTAATTTGGTCATACCTCAGGGGGGTGTTTGTAATTTACCCAACAGTTATATTATATGGTCCATTCAATCTTTCATAAATCAATACTCAGAATCTAACTTGATTCTCTATCCATTAATAGTGAATCCATCCACGCACACAACATTTTTATTTTATTTTATCCCCCTTTTCATTTCATTTCATCATCCCACTCCTAAGGTAATGTTGAATTACGAAAAAAAACCCTTATATTTTTGGGTAATTACAATCACCCATCAACTACGAATCTTCTTACACGTCCACCCTTATGGTGTCCAACAGAATCTTCTAGATTTCGTGTAATGTTATGTAGTTTGTATTCGTTATGTGTAAAAATGCAGTTTCTGATGCACCGCAATATGATATTTACAATGCCAAGAGACACATCTTGTGATCATCGTTTCAAAATGTGAAACTCGAATGAGATAAAAAAAAGGGTACAAACTTCATAGTATTCCACTAAATTTGACACCGTAAGAAGATTCATAATTGAAGGGTAGTTATTATTACCCAAACATAAGGGGATTTTTCGTAATTTGATCTTAACTCAGGGAGGTGAACGTAATTTTCCTAAAATAATCCCATCTTTTTTCTTTTTATTCATCAAAAGGTCCCAAACCTGCAACAAGACATCAATAAATACTCATCAACTGGATAATGTCCTAAACACACACACACACACACACACACACACACACACACACTAAAAATAGTTGTGGGACCCGGCAAAGGACTAATGACAGCATGGCCAACTGACTTTTGAAGACCCCACAAACCACATGCAAAAAAGCCCCCCCATTTTTATATAATTTGCATCCCCATCCCTTTGCATTTTCTTTTCTTTCTTCTCCACCTATTTCAAAACACCTGTGCATCTCATTCAACTTGACTTTACGTATATATACATATTATATATATCTCTTCTTACAAACCACAACTCAACTCACTGTGTAAGATATTATTCAGCCTCATTCAGTAGCTGCTTTGTATATATATATATATACATACACACACATATATATAAAACACACACACACACACACACACACAAACATGGAAGGTGGTCTTGAGTTAGACGACGACGTTTTCTTTAAAGACTTAAGCAAACAAATCTCTCTCCTAATTATGGATGACGATGAACCTGCTGACTCACTTGTTCATCCTCCATCTCTAAATCTACAGGTACTTTTATTTTTATTATTTTATTTTTTTATTTAATTAATTCCCATAATAAGATTAATTTCCATGTTATTTCTTGATTTTATTTTTAAATTTAATTTTTTTTGAAGGGTTATAATAATCAAGTTATTAATCCGGCAAGACAAGAAGCATCCTCGTTCGTTAGTTACGATAATCATAATCATAATCAGAATCAGACGAGGAAGCGGGATCAGAGCAAAGGGACCGGAGTTTTTATCCCGCGTTCTTCATCAAATCCGAGGCGGAAAAATGTTAATAAGCAAGGAAGATTTAATAAGCCTCAGATTAGTAGGGCTGATCATAATAATACCCAATATATGGGTTATAATAATATTAATAATAATAGTAATTATTACAATAATATTAATCTGTCACATGATGATAATTCATTTAACCTTAGAAGATTTTGATTATCATATTAATTAATTTGCCATGAAAAAAATTTCTGCTGTGAATAAATTAAACCTAATAAAAAGAAGGCAGGTGTGTATTTTTTATTTTATTTTTTAGTTTTTAAGTGTCGGTAGCATCTCTTGTAATAATTTGATGTATTATATGGATTGTTTTTATTAATTAGGGTCTTCTTTTTTATTAGTGTATGATGATATATTATAGTGTAAGCTACTATATATTGATTATGATGATATTTGTACTGTCATTTTTTTTTTTAAATTTATGTGTTTTAAGTTTTTGTGTAGAATCATATAATCAATTTTTGCCAATTATACCTTTTGTATCATTAATTAGAGAAGCATTGACTTTGAGATTAAAGAGATGAGCATTATATTAATTAATATATTATGAGATAATTATCATTGTGTAAAGGGTCATTTAATGGTTATTTGGTTATTTGTATGCTACATTTGGTATATGTTACACTAGGTTAATTTTTGTTGTTGATTCACGTGTTTGTGTGTATATGAATGGTTAAAATTTAGCAGGTGTAGTATAGTATAAACAATCAGATTATTTATATTACATTGGATGTTACATCGAATGAATTTTTACCGTTGATTCACACACACACACCAATGTGGATGTTTTTGTTTGTGTGCTTATGAATATTAAATATGTACTTGGTGTATTTTACCCGGTGATCTAAGTATGAATAAAGCTGAGGGAATAGTTTGGAAGCCAAATTCAATTATTCAACAATTGAGTTTATTCAATTATTATATAATATTGAATTTTTCCAAGTGATTTTAATCATTTCATTGAAGAATATAAACCCTACTTTGGGCTCATTTTGAAGAATATACACCAAATAATTGTTCAACAAATCAAATAATTCATCCCATTATGATGATAAGATCCACCTGGATTAATTAATAATTATCAACTGATTAATTTCTTTTTTCTTTTTTTTTTCTTTCTAAATTAGTAAAATAAGTTTTTATTTATTAATTCATTATAGGTAAAAATACAAAATTACGAAAAAAAAAATTAAAAAAAATCATCTTTTGCAGAAGCAACTCAACAATGGCGGAAGTGTACTTCTTCTCCTTCTTCTCTCTAATCCTCCTCGTACCACTCTCCCTTCTCCTCCTCCTCTACTTCATCGTCCGCCCCAATCCAATCCGCGTCCCAATCAAAAACCGCCACGTGTTCATCACCGGCGGCTCCAGCGGAATCGGCCTCTCCCTCGCCCATCTCTGCGCACAACAAGGCGCTGACGTCACCCTCCTCGCCCGCAGCGTCGCCAAGCTCGAGGAGGCCAAGGAGTCCATCAAGCTCGCCACCGGCCGCGACGTCGCCGTATTCAGCGCCGACGTCAGGGATTACGCCGCCGTCAAGCGCGCGGTGGAGGAGGCCGGCCCGATCGACGTGCTGGTGTGCAACCATGGGGTTTACTTACCGCAGGAATTGCAGGATCAGGAACTGGAGGAGATCAAGTTCATGATCGATGTGAATCTGACCGGGACTTTTCATTTGATTAAGGCCGCTCTGCCCGGTATGAAGACGAATCGGGCCGAGAGGGGGCCCGCTTCCATTGCGATTATGTCTTCTCAGGCCGGTCAGGTATTCAATTGATTTGATTATTCTACATCACATGCTTACAATTGCTGATTGATTTTTTTCCTTCCCAGATTTTGTAATTTTCTCTCTCTAAAAACAGATCCAATATTTCAATTCATGAAAATACAAGCATTAATTAGTTAGTGGCTACAATTTGATTTGCTTACACTTGTTATATATATATATATATATATATATATATATATATACGAACTCCACATTTTTGCGAGTCCTGTAAGAAATTGCATTCGAACTGTGCTGTTAGCTAGAATTCGATTTGGATCGTCTGTATTTGCTTTAACTTGCCTATGCGAAATATAAGCTTGAAAAAAGCTAGACGCTCGCACCCTTCTTGATATCTTATTAGCTTGCTGCATTTTCGTTAATATTTGGAAAGTTCTGGATCAAAATGCCTCGACTCGTCGAATATCCGAAATTACACCCCGGCAAAACCTGTTTAAGAAATATCAATAGTGAGCTAGAAACATGACTGTCGCGAATTTAATTATATCTGCGTTCGCTCTAAATGTACTAATTATTTCATATAGTCGTTTTTTCGTAATCGGTTAATTGATTCCAGGTTGGCATTTACGGTTACGCAGCTTATTCCGCCAGTAAATTCGCACTCAAGGGATTGGCGGAAGCTCTGCAGCAGGAGATTATATCAGATAACATTCATGTCACCCTTATCTTCCCTCCAGACACCGAAACTCCCGGATTTGCAGAAGGTTCCGAAAATATATTTTGTGAAATAAAATCTTTATCTTCTGAATATTTTCGGAACTTGCCGTTGAAAATTTATGTCTTTAATGGCAGAGAACAAGAGAAGGCCGCAGCTTACGAGCATCATAGCAGCTTCCTCGGGGGCAATGAAAGCCGACGAAGTCGCCGGAAAATCACTGGCCGGAATCCAGTCGGGAAATTTTATAGTTTCTTGCAATTTCGAGGGTTTCTTACTCTCTGTAGCGACAGCTGGTTTATCTCCACAGAGATCGTATCTCATGGCGTTTGTAGAGATAATGGGCGCCGGTGTGTTACGCCTTGCTGGCATTTTTTTCCAGTGGAATTGGTATGGAAGTATTGAGAAGTGGCATGCGAAGAAGAAGTAGGGTTCTAAATGATCTCTAAGAAAAATGTGCCTGGTAATTTGTTATTATTGAGTTCCACTTTTGAGCCCACGATGACGGCTTTTCGCTTCAAGAACGAAGATTGTTTCGATTTCTTCGATATGATTTGGTTTCTGTAGCAATGCTGTGGAGTCTTGATATTCATTTTGTACTAATTCAAATCCTTGAAAATAATTTTGAATACAATGAAGTTCATTGGGGATTATCTTTTTATGAGCCATATTTATCCAAAGAAAGAAACTCAGAGCTGTACATGAGATTGTATTTATTGTCTCATTCTAGACAAGTTCGCCACATCGGAAAATCTGTAGGACACGCGGCAGTGCTGCATGCTCTTTCCCTTGCCAGCTTCGGTTTTCTATTTTCAGTAACTTTGATGATGGTGATGATGATGATGATGATGATGATGATGTGTGGTGTACACAATATATAAGGCTCCATGTATTTTCATGTATATATATATATATATCTGTATATGTATACATATTGCATAGCTCTCTCTTTGTACTGTGAGATACAGGAAATTTACTATACAACAGAGGTGATAATGGCGGCGGCGGAGCAGCAGTTTCCACCACAAAAGCAGGAGGAGCAGCCCGGAAAACAGCACCTTATGGACCCTATTCCACAAGCCCTCCACCCTGATTACCGTCAAGCCAACAAACTCCGTGTAAGTAAATAGTAGACAACGAGAAGAGTAACCAAGTTG